CCCCCCCAACAAAACCACATCTTAATGGATAAATTATACAAGTTAGCTTCACCACACGGTGGGGTACGTATTCTTTTCGTGCACCTTTCTTTTCCTCAGAGTTTGTTACACAAACTGAAACACTTATCAGCCTAAATTACGTGTGTTTTGATCACTCATTTTCTTTTGTACCAATGGTAACTCCTGACTTGCTTCCCACAGACACAACTTCAACAACTCAGTAGTTGAGCTGCTTTAACCCTGCCTGTCAAGTTAACCCATGCAGAGAGGGACACAGCGTTCCAGGAAATACAGAGGTCTGCGATAAAAGAATACTCCCTCTACTCACGGATAGAAGTCAAGAATACGTCATGCACAGACGTAACAGCCCCCTGTTATTTTTTAGTCCACAATTTTAAACCAGATTTTTTTCCCTCAGCGAGCTCACTACATTTCAATAATTTCATCAGAAGCACTCACAAAAACATCCGGTTTCCTTGGGATGCTCTATAATTTGTTACCAAAACACCCACAATACATAATAAAACCGATTCTAAAGACAATACAGGCAACATATGTCTAAGACCCGAAGTGCCCACATTATAAAAGATTCCAGATCCTTCCCTATTAATAATTCTAAGAGCATAAAGCTTTAAGTGGATGTAAAACTACAAAACACAATATTATGATAAGAAAAACAGAATTAGAAGATAAAAAAACATGTCCTTTCTACAATGACAAAACAGCGCAGTGAAAACAACTGCTGCCACGGACACACCGCAAACATGACATGGACAGCTCTACAAAATGGAGAAAAAAAAATTATTTTGAGAATTCAAAATCAAATAAAAGAAACTATCTGTGAGCTCTGCTATAACTGTGTCATTTTCGCTTCCAGGTTTAGGATATTTATAATAGTAAACCACTATAAATCTTCCTACATTCCTAATGATCCAGTGAGTCAAATGTTTACAGGAGACCCCCCCCCCCCCTTAAAAACAAACCTTAACAATGTTTTCTCTGTCGAACAGAAAAAGCAATAGCGTTTACATACACAGCAAATGAAGCCATTTTAAAGAGAAAAAAAACAACAACTATTTTTACTTTTCTCCTCTTTCAAGAAAGCGGCCCCCGAAACAAAAAATCACTAACCACGACGGTAATTAATGGTGCAACTATTCCTATGATTCAACATGCCACAGACTCAAAAAGACATTCTCTAAAGCTAACATCGAATCAGAATGGAGAGCACCAAAGTTCACTAATGTCAGGAAGTTTTAAAAAATTAAAAAAAGACTCTCCAAAATCTACAAACATAAAAAAAACATGATGACTGACCACACCCTAAAAAGCAAGGTACACTTATTCGACTAGTCAGATCCCTAGTCAGGCTGGCCAATGTACACTTATCAAAATCTGTCACAGCAATACGGACTGTAGTGTGCCTGTTGTGCTGCACATGAAATAAAGCATACAGCAACGCACATTAAGTCAATTCTGACTGGCTGAGAAAAACAAAGCCGTCTGATTTTGCACGACTGGATTTGGGAAATGGAAGGGGACTGGATTTGGGAAAGGGAAGGGGGGGAGATGCTAAAATCCAAGCAAAATCAGAAATCGGGCTGTATCAGTTGCCACCATTTTGCAGTTAATGTTGATAAGTAGATTCGTACGGGAATCACATAAGTGTACACTGGCTAGAACAGTCTCGGGCCGCTCACATTTCAGGGGGGACATAGAGGACGAGCCAGACCTGCCAACTCCACAGTAAGGAAAACTAAGACAATCTAACAACAGGAATCAGTTCCCCCCGGGGATAAAATTAGTCTCATTTTAAAAAATTATGATTTCTTTTTTTTTACATTTTAGTATGACAAGGATTTTACTTTGTTCCCTGCAAGTTCCTTTGAACTTGGTCAAGAAATTGGCAATAAACACAAACATTCCCTCCTCCCTCCCCAATAAATAAAATAAAATAAAATAAAATAAAATAAAATAAAATAATAAATTACATTATCAATAAACACGGTGAAGATTTGTGAAGATTTTAAGTGTCTCAAATATGTAAAATTACTTGCAATATTTCTCATGACAAAGACAAATAAATATGTGAAGTGAAAAAGACCAAGAAAAAAAAATCATAATTGCATGAGGGTACTTGGTGGGTAAAACCTATATCAAAGATAGCTACTACCTACGAGACAAAAAGAAAGTTACCCCCCCCCCCCAGACCAAATACATGTACATACACACATCCCACCCCCAAAACAGGTGATACAAATGTATTTGAAAACAAGTCTTAAAAAAACGGAAAAATCTTCTACTTTCAAAAGGGTTTTTGCTTTATAAAGCAAATTCTAAAAAAGGACCCCCACGCCAAGAGGAAATGAGAGTGAATTAAAAGCAAAAAAGATCATAATAAAAGTGCTGAAAAAGGGCGAGGAAATCCTACTCTCTGTGGTATTTGGCAGGTCTGCCATATACACCAAGAGATGACTGGGTGAGGAACGAAGGGAGGAGGGGGAGGGGGAGGGGGAGGGGGTGACTAGCTGTCCAAGGAGGGGAGGGGATGGGGGGGGCAGGACCAGGGGAAGGTCAAACGTCAAGGTCAAGCAGCCGGCCACAAGGCCCTCTCACCTGGATGTCGTCTAAGTTCTGACAACATGGTTGGTAGTGGTGGGCGCGGGAGAGAGAGGCATGCAGAAACCAGAGGTACATGAATGATGAGCGGGGGGTGTCACAGCAGAGCTATAGTGTGAGGTGGGAGGGGGGGAGATGGGTTGGGTCTCACGCACCTAACAGCATTAGCAGTGGGGAGTTGGCAGTGAGAGTGACACGGATTCTTTTTACATTGCTTGAACAAACAGTAGTGTTGCCATGTTTATACTTCCAGAGCGTGTAGTGAAACAAAAAGCTTAATTGTACATTCCTAAGTGAGGCCAACAATTTTGCAAAGTTACAGCCAGTAGTGATAATTCTATTTTTTACAATGACAACTCAAGCAAAACTTTAACAGAGCTAGATCTACCATGAAATGTGAAACTTAGTGAGGCAAGTGTTACATATTATACTTTGGATGCTGAGATTTCCAATCTTCACTGTTCTAGGGTGAAGCAAAACTTAAATATTGCTAGCACAATAAATGAGACTAAAAACTACCAATATTGCCACTGAAAAATAGACACTGAACTAGATGAAAGATGCTTGTCTACAAAAGCTTAAGGAACAATACTTTTTCTTTTAAATGACCGAGAACCCCCCCCCCCCCCCCCCCAACATCATCAACTTTTTAGTGTAAAAAAAAAAACCATTGTGAAGTTTAGGAGCTGTAAACGAATCTCAGTGAAAGACGACTGCAACAAGAAAATGGGGTCTTCCACACATCATCAACTGCAGTCTTTCAGATTGACAGTTAAGAGCTTTGGGGCTTGCATCAACAACAATTTGGACCTGTGTCATTCTCATTTAAAAAGCTGGATGATCAAATCAGGAAATTGCAGACACAACATTGGTAGGTAGCTTGCTGAAAAAAAAGGTGCCTTTATACGGGTTCCTTTTCATGAATCAGTTTACACCTCTGACAAGAGGCAAAGCTTTCCATTCTACACCAGACTATAAACAGTTCCTTTTAAAGACCCAGAGCAGAAAATAAACTTCAAGAACAACCTCACCCCCCCCCCCTCACCCCTTCCACCAAAAAAACAAGAAAATGACTACTTCTTTGTGTTCAAGACACATCGACGAGGATAAACGAAGGATCTTCAATTGCTTGTCAAAACTAACCTTGTAAATTCTTATTTTAATCCTGTGTAAATGAATTTCCACATTGGAAGAGCTTTAAATTATAATCTAAACTTACTTGCCGTGTAATAGCACCTTATGATAAACAGGGTCAAGCAACTAGACTGAGGATACAATGTTCCCTACTCCGCCACCAATGTCCCTATGGGACTCACAAACGTCAAACAGCGCGCAGGGAGAAAAGGGCTTAGGGGGAAGTTCTACAGACCCAGTCTGCCTATCACTTAGACAACAGATTCAGTACAACTTTTAAAGCAGATAAAATAAAACAAGAACACAAACCAAAAGGAGAGATTTCTTTGGACAGGGCACAGGGCAGAATGTTTTAAGTACAAATTAAGCCACTTTTACAAAATCAACTGTTAAGCGATGTTACTGTCAAGCCATGTTCCGCAACATTTTCCTAAGTAAACCCTTGTACTTAAAATAAGTTTATGCTAAAAGTAACAATCTAATGGAATCTGTAATACCTACATTTCTCTCTTGTCTAGTCTATAGATCAGGCAAAGACTAGCAAAATGCAAGCTAAAGCATAACAAGGATATAAACCTACAACTATGAGAAGAATCTAGCCGGAAAGCCATTCAATTTTTTAAAAATAATCGTAGGCTCCATCTTCGAATTATTAAGGTAAGAGGAGAAAGAAAAGCGAAGCAAACTATAGGTTCAAACAGCTGTTACTTCAACAACAAAAAATCCATTACTGCCTCATCTTAAATACTATATTGACAAAAGACAGAACTGTCAACAGTTAACAGCTGCGTGGGCCAATTGCTTTCTGTACTTATGCCCTGGTATTATGCTTACTCATAAGGAATAGAATAAGGGCACGGGATCAAACTATCGTATTTATATGTTAAGGTATAGAACAGGGGCACACCTTTTGTCAAAACATACAGCCTGTAGCTATGCAAACAGACCAGAAATGCTTTAGTGGAAATTGCAGTGAAATAAGGCCTTTGCCTCTCCTGAAAAGTTGTATTTCTGAGATATGACAGTGTGGTTCCAACCATCCTTGAAACGACAGTACATGGGGCTTACAAATCAAAGGCACCCTTGCAGAAAGCGGAGAGCAAACCACTAGACAGTTGTATAACAGGTATACATCTACTCCACAACATCTAGGTACTGACCTTGATCATGTCTTGCTCGTCATACTGCACATCCAGTGACATTCCTCGCTTCATCGAATCCTTTGTGATGCCAACTTCTTCTTTAAATGTGTCGAAACCTGTGAAATGACCAGCAAGAAAACACTCTAGAATTTTGTTTCGTTTTTACCTCGTGTTGCCATGACATTAGGTTATTTAGGAGAGGGAGCACTCGACACATTCCATGGAGTAAATATGAGGCATGTTCCCATTTGAGCAGATTATTTGATTATAAGAGAAGTGTCATCTCCTGTTAGTGTGTAGTTGTTCTATCCCCTTGCCAAATGTTAGAATTTACCAAAACAATCATTTATTGGCAGAGTCGACCTATCCTCCTCATATGTCTTATCCCAACTCTTCAAATAGCTTTGACCCTTATGACCCCCCCAGACTCATGACTGACCTGACTGATCCATAGTGGCCCGGATCGCTGCTGCCTCCACCTCGTCATCCACACGCTCCACATTGTACATACATTTCCGCACCACATCATCACGGTTGATTCTTCGAAGAGCTGTCTCTAGTTCATTTCCTGACAACGCAATTTCAAGAATTGGAATTATTACTACATGGAAATTCTGAGTTGTTTTTTGAATGAAATGCTCAAATATATTTTCATGGTGTTGTTCAACTTATTTAATTTAGAGTCAATTAAAAGCTAGAAACACTTAGAAAATGGGAGTATATTTAAGGACAAACAAAGAATAACCCCCCCCCCCCCCCCAAAAAAAAAAAAAAACAGCACAAAATATTTTCTTAAACAAACAACCCCCCCTAAAGAATTACATAATGGATTGAGAAAGAGGGAAATCCCCTCCAACCAAAAACCCCACCACACAGAGAAACAAAACAAACAGTAAAAGCAATGTCACCTGTGGCCTTGTCTCCGTTCTTCTGTACCCAGAGATGCAGCATGGCCAGAGCCTGGTCTCCCACAGTCTTGTAGTCGTTCTTGATGTGGTTGATGTCCGAGATGGAGACCTGGAGCTGCTGAGCCAGCATGACCCAGTCGCCCTGCACGTTGTCCGCGATGTCCGACAGCTTCATCTCCGCTTTGTTGACAGAGTCTTGGATCACTGAGGACAGAGAAAGGCAAACACTGATAACCTGTTCCTTACATATATCTAAGTTTTATCATGTCAAATCTCGAAATGAATATCTCAGAAACATCAATCCACAGGCCCAATTGAGGCCAGACTCGGTAGTATAGTAAGGCTAGAATTGTCCCAGAAGTCCAGGAGAAAAAGTTGCTGATGCAAACACTCAATGCAACATGGCCAAAGCACTTTTATGAGAAGTTGACTTAGCTTTTCCATACGTCAGGGAGAAAGAATCTGATTATCAGAGTTTTAACAAATATACAGCTCAATTATTTCATTTCAACCAGACAGTGTAACAGAAACTTATTCCACTGAAGGATTACTTCTATTCATATACGTCACGATCATAATCAACAGAAGAAAAAATCCTCTTTGTATAGTTTACAATTTCATAACACTCTCAAGTTTTACTAATTTATTTTAAGAAGCATTTTTGTACAAATAGGTAATTCATCCTTGTAATTTCATGTCACTGAAAAATAACAATTTACACCTCAAGGTATACATGCAACATCTCAAAAACCAGCCATATCCATTCAAAAGCTACATTTGCAATCATAGTCACATACCGATTGTTCCCTTAAAACGTCACAATTCCTGAGGATTTCTTTTATCTTCTCCCTATTATAAGTTTATGCTTCAACAAGTGACTAGAAATATCAGAGGGAAACATTCCAGTCAGGCAGTGAGAAGAGGGAAAATTAACTGTGACTGAGTAAATAAAAGCTTCGATCACTTTAAGTGGTTTGCGTAATGTTTTGCTCGAACTATAAGTGGAAAGAAAAAGGGCTGGACATTACAAACTTTCACAGCGACTATTCCAACCATATTTCATCACTATCATTTTGAGCTGAAATTATTATAACCTTTAAAAAGAAACGAGATAAAATATTCAAAGCAATAAAAGTAGTGCCCCATGGTGCAGAGCTGTGAGTGTCAGGGGAATCTTATTCTTACTCTACATGCACAGATGCAAAGGAAGCTTTAAAAATAGACATTGTACATGTCAGAAATAAAACCACTAAAGATAGTTTCACCTTAATGACCAATGTATCTTTTCAATTTCAAGATGTCCCAGTTGAAAAAAAAAAAAAGATTACTTATCATACATGTACTGTAAATAAATCGATAAATCATTTATTAAGTATCTGTGAGTGTGCTGTCATGCATTCCATGTGACTCATGCTGTGTAGTCCTTAACTTGAATTCATTTTCATAAAGTCCAATAATGCACAGCATGAGGGGGAGAGAAGAAAGACTTGGAATGCCAGAGGGCCTCTCTTAAAAGAGTATCGATATCGAGTACCTCAGAGAAAACCATTTGCCACAGATTTTGTGCATGCAAAGATGCTCATGTCGTGACAATAAAATCTAAAAATGGTCCTTTACTACAGTGTTCAATACTTGTACAAATCATATTAATCTTAACAGAGTTGGGTCTCTACAAGCAATCTCGATGATGAAATTACGAACAGTTGCACTTAATGGTTAGAGTAAAGCCTTACAACTCAGTGAAAAAGAAGAGACAGCCTGGGGAAAACTATAAAAAGAAACCTCACTGGTTTTAAAAACAATTAAAAACTAGCAAAACAACTTCTAAGTGTAGCCTAAGAGTTTAATAGCAGACAGCAGGAATGGTTCAATGGCAAAAGACCATACACTAAGTCTAAGAGGGAGAACATCACAAATTGATCTTCACAGTCCACATTCAGAAAATGAAGGAAAACAATATTCGCTGAGAAAAAAATCTGAGAGGGTGGAAACAAAAAGGCCACTGACTGTCATTCTCTCACAGACTAGATCTATACAGTGCCAGAAACTTTCCAAACCAAACTTCAGTTCCTGGACGTAGTATTTTATAACAAGTAAAAAGAACTCAGGAAAAAATAAATAAAATCTTGTTGGGGAAGGTAAAAGAGTAGGCCTATGGGATAAAGAAGTAGTGAAACATTGTCCAAGTTTACTGATAGAAAATAGAGCTACGTCAAAGGATTTCATTATTTTTATTCAAGATCATTCCATCACTGCAAAATTGAGGGCCATGTAATCATTGTAAACTTTTATTGCTGCTCTGGTCATTTTATTATACTTCAGAGTAAGTCACAGAGGGAAGTCTGGCCTTTTGAAAATTAAAATAAGACATAAATCTATATCCATGTTTTCAAATCGTTGCGAAAATTTCTCCCGACAATATAATTTCATGCTATTTTTCTTAAATCGCAGAATGAGAAAGTTCTGATGAAGTCTAAAACCATAAGTAACAAATTGGAAAAAACAAGTATGTATGTCAGAAAAAAAGGACCAGAACAGACACACAGAAAAAACAACCTCACCAAAACTGTATGTTCAGTATAAAACCTCACTTCGAAAAAATATCATCCTCAAAATAATAATTCACTCATTCAACACTCAGAGAACTGCAAATCCCAAAAATGAAAAGAATTCCTGACAAAAACTAAACCTGGGCAAATGAAAGAAAAAGAAAATAAAATAAATTCAAATCTCATCCATCAATCTCTTCTGCACACCATGCACTGTACTTCATCATTATCATAAACACCACTGATCAGTACAGTGAAATCAAGTGTGGGAGGGAGAGTAATGGTAGGCAGAACTCAATCAAGACATTTTATGCATTGCTTTTTGCCAGTCTGAACAAGGCGGGGTCATTTCCTCCCACTTACTTTCCTTTATCACCTGACCTGGAATGAAAAGTACAATGGTATGTTTCCAGGTGCACCTTCTTAACTGTCTTATCTAGTTTTCTACGTTTCTTTTCTGCCGTTTTATGCCGTCCTTGACACAAATAAGCCATTCCAAAGGAGAGTCATGCATACAATGTGGTTTCTTTTGGTAATGTACTTCTTATAACTGACTCTTGATTGACTAACAAACAAGACATAGAGCTAGAGAGAAGACCTAGCTGGCATGGTATATTTCCCAAAGGCAAACAAACCTGCATCTTTTGTAGGAAAAAACAAACAACTTAATGATTACACATCAGACACTAGTGCAAAGAGTAAGAATTATGGCCAGGTCAATGCTTACCTACCTTGAAACAAGGTTTGACCCAAGTGAAAATGCTGCTCTTAGGTGCTAGAAATTTGGTTTTCAGAGTCAGTAAGATAGTGCATTTAACCTGTGTAGTACCTTGCCTCAGAAATGACCCATGTTACATTGAATGAGAAGTGAAAACATTTACTGAACCACTGCTTTCTTCTGGTGAGTGCAGTCCACCTTACAGCTTCAATTATTTCTTTTGAAAGCATCAAGCACAGACAAAACAACAGAACAAGTCTGTTACTGTAGTCAAAAACAATTCTACTGTACATTGAACAACTCAAAAGTTTAGTGTACAAAGTGTCTCGAGCTTACCCAAGCCCTGGCCTCGGAGGAAGTCGTGTCTCTTGCGGACCTCTGCTGCCTTGTCAGCATCCAACTCGCCCGAGTCAGACTGAAACAAGAGGAATAGCAAAAAAGTAAAATAGCTTATCAAATTTGTGACGAAATGGTATTTCCAAATTTTATTGTCGTAGAGTTCTGTGAAAACTTATTACCTACCACCTGACATCAGGTTCAATTAGACCAACATTCAACAGCTAGCCAACTTGGGAAATTCACTGCGTTTGATCTACAGACTGCCATGTCTCAGGTCTTTTACTTAAGCAGTTTTGGTCGGGATAAAAGGAGAATTGTTACCACAGCTAAATTCATTTCCCCGCATCAAAGCAAAAATCATTTTAAGTCATCCTGTGAAACCCATGGTCAGTGAGAGTGAGAAACTAACAACTTAGTTGCAGCAGCACAGATCAACCTATTAATTTTTTCCCTCTCGATAACTTCCGATCAAATTAAGTGGTAGCATAGAGACTAAGAACAAAAATATCTTCTAAGGACACGGGTCAGCCTTATGGTCTTGATTTTTAAAATATTTATCCATAATTATTGTACATAGAACTTTCTGAGCCCAGATCGGCCTGACCAGACATCTACACACTCATCCCTCACCCCAAGATGACTGAATGGTGTTTAGCATCTCGACAGATAAAGAACAACAACAACACCAGCTGAGTCCGTATAAAGACAGGGCAAACATTTAACTGGATCAGAACATGCCCCCCCCCCCCAACAACAACAACAGCAAAGAGGATCGTCTTACCCCAACCATGTCTGGAAGCCTGATGTTGAGGTTGCAGATAGGAGTCTGTGGCGCCTCGCCTCGTGCCACCTTGGGTTCTTTCATGAAGGCCACTCGTGCACTGGGCTCTTGGTCCTAGGGAGAACGCACAAAACAATAAACACTTCTGCTAAACAGGGGAGCACAAGCTACCCATCATAAGGCAATCTGTTCTTGTGGTTCTTTTCATTTGTAAGAGATTTTTTTTGTCTTTGTGTGCTTGTTTCTATTAAAAAATGTCAGATCGGTTCTGTAAATATTTTTTTTTAAATTCTTTTTCTACCACAACATATGAATCCCTGATATTACTGTACTGGACCTTTAGAAATGTACTACTGTCTAATTTGCAAAGCTCAATAGGAGCACAGCAAGAAAACAAGTTAGTATAACACTAATTGCAGCTTTTCTAAAAAGTAAAAGAGGATTATCATCCTTTTGTCTTATTCATACATAAACAGTCTCTGATGACACACACACTCATCCACCCACACACGCGCACATACACACAAGCACACTCACTAACCTGGTCTCTTATCTTGACCGTGCATGGCAAGCGGTTTTCTCGGAAGGCGCGGAAATTGACGTGGAGCTGGTCCCCAGATTTTGTGACAGGGATCAGGTTGCCTGCCATCTCTACAAACTGAGGTCGTCCCTCCAGCACCTGGGAAAATGGCGGGGGGAGACAACATTAATTTCAAGAAACTTTTTCTATAAAGTAGAAAAAAAACTTGGACTTTGCAAAGAGTCCACCAAAAAACCCTATCTTATTCATCCAAGAAGCAAAGTTAACCATAATAACACCAACAAAAAAGCAAAAACAGCAAGCTATACCAGAGCACTCATCAGCCATCTGCTATAATATTATAAAAAATTTTAAAAAGATAAAAACCAGTCTATGCTCTGTGTTTCTTTTTCCATACTTCTAGTCAAATATCAATTTTTAAAATGTTACTTAGGCCTTCTTTGATACAGTAATTTTTGCACTTTGACAAAAAAAAAGCATGCCTCTTTCTCATCTTTATTCATACACTGATAAAAATCTTGTATAAAAATGGTGAGCAAAGCACGGCGTCCGAAATTCCGTCTCAGCCATCTTTTAGTTAGTCCAGCAGCCCCCCCCCCCCCCCCCCCCCCCCCCCCCCGTAGGCCATAAATCAGCGGCAGGTGACCTGCAATTTCACGCGTCAAATTATTAGCCACTCAATATGTGTTTGTTGTTTTGACTAACTATAAATAGACATACATTTTAAGAGCATCTAACTCAAAAACGTGAGCAGCCATGGTATTGCTATTTCGTACCAATAAAGAGGTTTAGTTGCTTTCTCTAAAGAACAAACTTGTGTTAACGTATAATATTTTTTGTTTGTGTAAGACGATAAAACTTGTGTTGAAAAATTCATTTCACCAGGTACCGACGCAGGTAGCGGGAGGGCGGGTTAGTGACCTCTGAGTGACCGGCCCGCCGTGACCCGGTCACTCCATCGCCGATCAAACTAAAAGAGCGCTGTTTGTACGCCATGAAAGGTTCCACATTGTTCCAGATGTAGAACTGACTAATAATTGCACATTAGAAGGGGGCTGCTCAAAGCCAGCCTGGCAGGGCCACCTCAGGCTGAGTGGGATACAACCCAACAGCCTGGCATCAGGAAAATACTAGTTTAAAAAAAATAAAAAATTCATATAACAAGTTAAATGCCCTACAGATACAGAACTGCCACCTCAAAACAGATATCTCGCTCTTTTTTTTTGCCTGACCACACCTTTAGTTGACAGATCAGCATGAAAGGCAGTTGTTTGTTTTTTAGTTTGTTTGCTGAAATATTTGAAAAAATAGAAGCATGTTAACACGATAATATTAATTTAGAGCACGGAAAGAGGAAGAAAAAAGAAAAAAAGAATAAAAGATACAACAGAGTGGCCTCCAACCACCTGCAAAAGAAAGCTGCCAGAATACAAAGTAAACACAAAGAAACAACACAACCCTGGGCCAGGAAGGGTGGACACGGAAAAATTACCTCTATGTCTCGGCTGCGGGCCACCTCGAAGAACTTCTCCTGTTTCTCCAGCGTTTTGTCGTCCTTGTCGTCAGTCATGCAGAACACCCGCAGCTTGCCCTCCTCGGGCGAGTCCCGCTTGGCAAAGACCACAAACTTGGCCATGTAGGGCACAGTGACTGCCTCCTGGTACAACACTGAGGCCATCTGGGCTGCCTCGGCCACATTCTGGCAGTCAATGAGCCAGAACCTGAGGAAGTGAGACAATTAGGTTTGGAGTTTGTTTTTTTAATATGGGTTAAAACAAAGCCTTTTTGTGTTGAGAGTTTTGAGTACAGAGAGGCTCACAGGCCATTTAGCGCAGGTTAAGAGCAAGACAGACAGAAATGAATAATAAAAGAAAAGAAACAATTAATAACAGCAGCATGTACTGTGTGCTTCATAACTATTATTACCCTAGTAGAAGCATTCTCAGGATGCAAACAGTAGATCTGCTAGACTTCACTGCAAATTTCACACCTCATGGTTAAGCTCATTTCGTAGCAAAATTTAGTGCATATGTTCAAAGCACCCGTCAACATATTTCAGATCATTTGAGTGTCAGGCTGCTTTGCCTTGTCTGTCAAAGCCAGCCACAACTGAGTCAGCTACAGCATCTCGGCAGACAGAAAAAGATACAGTCAAACCTGCTCTAACAATCACCTGTATAAGACAATCACGTGTAAAAACAGCCACCTCCCTCCTTCTCCCTTGCCGTTATTTTTACATTATAATGACACTGAGTAAGATGTCCGCCTGTCTTTAACTACCAATTTTGTCCTTGACAATGGGTGACCATCTAAGACAAGTTGTGCTTAACCAAAAACTTCCCCATGCAGGAATCAAGACTCAATCTTGTGCACGCTATGGCAAGGACCCTGACTGTTACAGCAGACACCGTTGACCATCTCACCTTGCAGAGACAGAGGTGGTGAAGGAGACACAGTCATCCACCAGCGTGATGGGCTTGGAGTCGGTCACGTCCTCCCATACTGCCGGGTTCGTGTCCGCTGAGGAAAGCAGCACCACAAGACAGTTAGACATCAGCAGAACCCGAGTTGTACATAGACAAAGCATGGCCACAGGCACACAAATTTCTGTCATGACAAGACATGCATTAATCCAACTAAAGAAAGCCAAAGACCTTGTTACTATAAAGTGCTCCTAACATCATGTTCAGAAGATAAAAATATGAAAACAAACTCAACGGAAAAGGTCAGGGCTCTTATATTCACTACAAATTCGTTAAATCACTTCTGAAGAGACCTTTTCAATGAGCTGTGCAGCTCTCGATTAAAATATGAAAGAACAAAAAAAACTGGAAATTTTTTTTACGCAACCAAAATCAAATTGTAGGTGAGTAAGATTGACAAAAATTGATATTCATTCCACCTCAGAACATCTTTATATCAATACAAAATCTGTCAATGTATATGATTTAGAAGAGAAAACGACCACTATCATCAACTTTCAGCACAATTTTCTTGACCGTACCATTAAAAAAATATGATAAAGATGTGAAAAGGGAATCTCCTTACTAATGCACGATTTAAACTGTTCAGTGAACTACTCACTACTGGCAGGACATAAAAATGACAATAAAAAGGTTTTGTACGGCACAACATTACCACATAACATTTGAACTAATGGTATTTGTCGTTTCCTACTATGTGCAAACAGACACAAAAGTATAAATATCAATTGTTTCATAGGTATCAAAATACCACTGACACAAACTGGGCATTCAAACCTTCCAATTTCGGAAAGTGTATTTGGACTGGTAGTCCTGGATTTGTAGTAGTCATTCATTTGCTCTCAATGTTGTCAACAGCCTCTTCTAGAAATCAGTATTCTCCTTTCCCTCCTGACATGCAATACAATTCTCATCTCATCATCTTTTTCGTTCCCCTTCCAAGCTTAGTTTTCTCATCGCTTTGCTTTTTGTATAACAATAGCATCTCATTTATACTAGAAGAAAAGACGGCTGGAATAAGAAAGTAATGTTTCTGGATGTTCTACACCTCCATTGACATAATTAAGATCATTAAGAGGTGGGCCCCTTTGACCCTGCCTTTTGGGGTCAGTGTGAGTGGGATACAGCTTTCCAGAAGAGAGATGGTGATACTCAATGAAACATCTTCCCCTTTTGGGAATCAAACACTTCTTTTGTGTGCAATGGTCAAGAACCTCAGAATTATGCCACAGACACCTATCCTGTGTCTCAGTCCCCTAAACACAAGTCAAAGACTGTTCATACACCAAAAACAAGAGGCAAACTACAGCTACTGACATCACTAACTGCAAAATGAATAAATATTTCTGATAGATGATGAAACCAATTTTTCACCTAAAAGAAGTGAGCTGAGCCATTTTCTCGTCTTTTTACTAGACAGAAAAAAGAAATATGAGTGGTGTTTACAGGCATGAAGCTAAAAGTGACTTTTAAAAATAATCAAGAAGAAAAGCAAAAAAGATACTGTATGTGACAGACAACAGTGTGTACACGTGTGCCAAAAAGACCAAAGGCCTGAATGTAAAACATGATGGCTACCACTGTGGTGACCAGACAGTGGTATCTTATCATGCAAAGTCCCAACAAGGATTTCACACTTATGTGATTTTCTACATAAAAATGTGAACACAGAAACAGCTAACAAACCTTCCAGCTTCAGCATTCAGTGGACATTTTAAACACAATAATATATTGTTGAGAAAGAAAAGACAGAATGAATGGAGTTACAGCAATTGGGGTAGGTGAAGGAATGAAATGAAATGATGCAGTAGGGTTACCTCGGCCGTGAGAGTGGTTGTTGCCTAGCAGCAATACAGGAAAGGGAGAAGAAAAAAAGCAAACAAGATTTGGAAAAAGATTATATGAAGCTGGAGACTTCAAAGTGAAAATTGCCTGTCACAGTCATTGCTCTGAAATCAAGTCACATTGTGAGTTTTGAAAACCTACAAGAAAATTATTTTTTTCAGTTCTGGAAAAAGTTACAGTTTGACAGATCTTCTCTTTTGTTCACAACAAAATGAAGTACTCAAGTTGAATATGAGAAATACTATAAAGTTGAAATTTACAGCAGACAGGAATGGGTGACAAGATCTATAGCAATGACTGTGCATTTAAGGGGAGGAAAAGAACCATTTATTGTATTTTTAATAAGCTGAAAAAAATCGGGGAAGATGGACAGTGTAAAGGGTGGTCAAGGACGGGAATGGATGTTTGATGGGGAGAAATTAGTCTGGAGAAACACAATGTTGAACACATTAAGTATACATGACTCTTGATTTTCCTTACTTTTACTTTAATAGACTATCATAGACACAGGTGAGAATTTCGCTAGAAAATTATTTATAAATCAGGTGTGAATTTAACAGAGAAGTTATGCTTTAAGTAAATTCTTGACAAACAGCACAAAATGTACTGTAATGTTGGAATCTTGCAGCAATCCCGAACTGAATACTTTTTTAAATTCAGCATTAAATATAGAATTCAGCAATTAACATGAATATGACTGTCACAAAATGGCAACTTTACACAAATTAGGTTTGGGTTTTTTTTGTTTTTTTGTTTTTAAAGGAAATGAAACGAGCAGAGATACATAATTCTTTACCATTGTAAACTAGTAAAACTGATGCCTTTTATTAACAGTTTCACAAAGTAAGTATACTGTGTGTTGAAGATTGAGAGCACAAACAGATACACAAAATGACTACATTGAATGTTATCACTCAAAATAATAAAACAAACAAGGCAACACAATATTAACAATAATAAGTAAACAAAGACAGAAATCAAACAAAAGCACACAGATTAAAACACAGAAAAATGGAACAAAATAGTATTTCAAATAACACATGAAAACCAAACTGAACACAACAGAAGGATTTCAGTCAGGGACGCCAATGGAAAGGAGTGGTCGGAAAAGAGTTCACTGATTATTACATGACGACCTGAGCGGTTAGGGAGTGATATGAAAACTTAGTACTGAGAACGGCCAAGTCCCTACTTTTTCCATACTTGCTACATACAAAACAGTTTCAACAATGTATAGGAATCACAAATCTACGAAGATGAACAAACATATGTGTAGCAATGACCCATGTACCAAAATTAATGAGTAGAGAAAAAAATGAAAACAAGAGAGAAATTTTAAAAAATCAAATGCATAATAAAGGAAGAAAATTATGAAAAGTACAATAACCAAAGAAAGTCACACAGAGTAAATAAAATGGGGAAAAGACCAATACACTGCCCAAAAATTATACTGAAGTTTCCTGTGAAATTGATTACAAAATTCCAAGAAAACTGTTTTCTATTATCAAAACTTGATGGTGGCACAAAAAATGTGAAGTAATAGAACAACATTATTGGGCAAATTTTACATGCTGGGAGCAAAGAGAAAAAGAAGCAGAAATGAGACGGGACTGTCTGAGCAAAACATTAGTTGAAAAGGAGCTCTGAGTAATATGAGAGTAGACGTCAAATGCAGGTGACTATAATAGTTCACACAGTGCCAATTTTTAGGATGGAACACAGACGAAGAAATCTTGGGGAAGAGTCAAGATGGTATGGAAGGAGAAAAAGAGTGAAGCAGTTTGGGAACACAGGAGTAAAAGTGTTATCAACATGAGTTAGGGTGTTGTCAACACAGGACAAAGATAAATAAAACTAGAAGCAAAACTGAAGTCATAATGCTCGGCACTTCAAAGCGGGGAAGAACAAAGACCCAAAAGAAAACAAAACAAAAGAGAAATGGGAAAACAACAGAAGAATTGATAAAACATAAAAAGACAGCGAAACAAAATAGGAAGCACACATGTGGGCAGGAAATAATGAAGTAAGAAACCACGTGAACTTTGCCAGTAGAGAGCAAAGAAAGCTTGTGGTGGTGGTGGTGGCAACACTAGCAGTGGCAGCATCAGCAGTTGAGCCAGACAGGAGCAAGATGAGGAGGAAGACCTACCTGCCAGGCTGAAGAGTAGGCGCAGGGTGGGCCGCTCCCCTCCGTACTGGTTTATCATGCCCTTCTGTGCGGCCCGCGGGACGGGGATAGTGAGGGTGATGGGTTTGTGGAACCTACGTCGGCGAGGCTCCACCGTCACGATGGGGCTGACGGCCACACGGTTACCCAGCAGTTTGGCCACCAGCTCTGGCGCTATGGGCTGGGCCTGGTCACGGTCGTGGTGGTGGTGGAGAAGGAGGGAGGGAAGGGGGAGGTAGGGTGGGTTGTGGGGGAAGTTGTGGGAGAGGTTGAGGGAGGGGGCAGGGAGGTAGGACCAGACAGAGAGGGCCAGGGAAGAGAGGTGGAAAGTGGGAGATGTTGGGAGGGGGAAGAGCAGCGGGCAGGAGAAATACGCACAAAAACACATCACTGATACGAGCAGTTTCAGGTGACACCAATGAATTTGTACATTGCACTGATTTGTCCCTTAAACCATTAAAATGAGAAAACATACATTTCCCACACACAATCCTTACTTTCCAGTTCCGTACAAAAGAAAGTTGTTTCAGCATACTCTATAGAAGGACAACCAATAGCACTTAAGGCAAGAGATTTTATGGAGTAGAGTTTTTTTTAAAAACAAACAAAAACTATCTCCAACGGACAAGGCTGACAAGTCAGACTGCAAAATTTTGAGAACATTACAAATTCTATTCAGTTAATAGGTCAGAACTGACAAGTGACTTTTCTTTGAGAACAATTTAAAGACACACTGGCTTCACACAATTTCAAACTCAGCTGACAACACTTTCCCTGCTCCAAGGGATTTGTCACAAGACAAATCTTCTAAAACTTTAGCCAATTACATTATAAGACCAAAAATGACAGCTCATCATGTCAAAGGGTAAATCCTAAAATGCAAAAAATATTAAAGCCATATTAAACAGCAAAAGTGTATATTGATGCAAGAATGATCATTAGCTAAATCTTTTAGTTCCAGTCTCCTGAACAGAATTTCACAACCTCAGGGGAGCCATAACATTGGCTTTATTAACAGGACACATTCTCTTGTGCATAATTACGAGCAAATATTCAAATGCTCCTCTACCTCAATGCATGTATCTCTGCATGTTGACCTAAAAAGGACATTACATTTACAGCTGAGATGAGACAGCAGTTACTGATGTTCTTTTAGAGCCTCAGGTGTCAGTTTGTCATAAATGCTGACACTTAATATAATTCTGCATCCAGCACAAAAATATAAGTATGGGTTGTTGTACAACCAGTCCATATAGATATTCCTCTACCAAACCAAGATTGTTCATTACTATAAACAGTGGTACAACCAAATAATTTGTAACATTGTTGAAACTTCAGCATTAATATTGCAACATGTTGAGCAGAAAACAGTTTTGTCAGCTTTCATAAAAACACAACTCTAAATGAACAATAAACTGCTTGAATAGTTTTCTTTGTTGAGTCTAGATGTGTACAAATGTAGACTTTGTATACACAGGCAGAGTTGAATCCTTCTTGTAATCAGCAGCACTCGCAAATACAAAACCTCATTTGATCATATTTCAGAGTACAGCATTTAGTCTTTGGTCCAGCAGTATATATAGTACACATAGCTATCTATCTATATCTAAGCACTATTCCTCAGTGCTGACTATAACAATTTTTGTACAAATGTACAACCAAAATCTATTGTTATCAATATCCGTCCTGAGTGTGGAATGAGCAATAAAATCCATTTGGCAATATCAGTGACACAGAGTCAATGATGTCTTGCAAAACACAGCACCAAGACGCAAACCATTTACAAACCTACCTAGGATGTAAACTATGATGTACTGTAGACATATATTTCAGTGAATCCCTACATTTTCTAAATGTAAAAGCATCGATAAATTCTTCTTTGCACACAGCCTTGGATAGGCAAAAAATCCTGCTACATCTCTCGACTGTACATGAGTATTAAAAATGAGTATCATCAGAAAACTTTTGGTACAAAAGGATTTATCAAAATCGTCGTTGCATTGTTTAGCAATTGTACACACTTTATACTTGCACCCTCACTGATACCAAACATTTCCACAATCAAGCCATTAGCAAAGGTCTTTGAGATCACGGACAGTGGCAGAAATCTTCTCAGCACTTATAGTAAATATATTTAAAATTCTAAAACTGTACGGTCAGTGTCCACTTATTACATGTAAAAGGGAGCCGCCCACATGTACAATAACCTTACATCCCCTCTGTAAGTATAGTCAGAGCTAGCTTCTTAAGCTCTCGAGTATTTCTTGGCAATAATATCAGTCAACATTCCCTTTCATCTTATTATTATTCTTAAAGCACCAGATGTCAAAAAAGTAAAAACTGTGATTGTCAAGTGTCAAAAGACATAAAAAAAACAGAATCACTCCAGCAAGTTGGAAGCATGGTGTTAGACTTCTAGCACATAGATGTCTTTTTACTTTTTCTTTTTACATATAATCTCTCAGTTTTATACATAAAATGACATGATTCTTTAAAACCTATTACACCCACTAAATGAACCGGTGCAAAACATACAGACAAGAACTCTGTTCAGTAACTTGAGGAACCTCACATTTGGGAGGCACTAGTGATGCAGTTATCAGTACATTATGAAAAAAAAATATGAATGACACTCAACCATGACTTTACGAGAGCAACACACAGGTAAAAATGTGCCCTTGTATCAGTTACATGCTTTAAGCATCCAAACAAATATTTACAGAACAAGCTAAAAGATAGCTGGCTGTTCTCAAATCCATTTCAGGATCTTTAGCGTGCAATGTAGTCTTCACATTGCTCATAACTTTAAAGTTAACCACATTCTTAAAGACTGGCAAAGTAACAAAACCCCAGTGGAGACATACACAATGTTTGTGATCGTGGTGACTGGAATGAAACAAAGAAACATGATCGTTGCAACAAGGCGGACATCTCACACAGAAAATGGGACGCACAATCAAAACAAACAGTAGAGACCAGGCCGTTAGAAATAAATATTTCTGAAAAATTAATCTAATTCCCTATGATCATGTAGACTAAGGGGAACAAATTGAGAGTGGCGGGGTTGGCAGAAATGTATGACAAATACTCATGCTACGACATACTCTTATCTAAAGAAACAGCAAAGACAACAACGACAATGATGATGGAGATGTCCAAATGAAAGCAACAATTTTATCTTTCACAAAATGACTCGAAAACAAAGAATAAAGGGCCATGACTGTGCGCTACATGTCCTCAAATGTTACCCGTTTGGCCTTACGCCCTCTAGGAGGCTGCAGGTGGGAAGAAAATGAGGTAGTTGATCAGCTCAGGGAAACACATCAGTGTTACGGTAAACTAGTAGCCTCCACTTTGTGATCAGAGATACGTGCCCATCCCCCACTCTCAAACACAAACACACCAAGACCGATATGGTCGCATGCATTAAAATAAAAATTATATCAACTAAAAGTATAAACCCATTTTGTAACTTACAAAAGTTCAAATAGATGACCTACGAAACAGCAATCTCTCAAACAAGGTTGTTTTAAATAAACTATTCATAAAGCCTGGTATCTTCAAAAAAAGAGAGTGAATGGGATAAGATTGAAAATGATATCTATCTTACTGTAGAATAGATAGAATGGAAACCAAGGGTCTTTAATTTTTTTAAAAAGTAAGTTGACTTGAGGTGAAATCTGCATCAATAAGGGTTTGGGTTGTACACATTCCCAAAGTCCACCACTGGTAGCCATGAAACTCCCCCCTGGTAAGTGACAAGAACTAGCAATGACTTACATAGAATAATTTGGTGCCATGCTTTCAGGCTATTTGTCTTTGTTCGTTCCATACACAACCAAAAATCTAACGTTTTGAGACCCCTATTCCTGATGAGACTTTCAGTCCAGCGTTTCAATTAAAAATCAGTTCAGCAAAAAACAAGTGAATAATGCTTCTAAAATGTCAGACAAGCTCCATTTTGAAGAAAAAAAACTGAGGGAGATTGTCACCATCCAGCATGACCTTTACGGAAACTGATAAATCTGAGCAGCTGTGTCTGCCAGCTGAACTCCATGTTCCTGTTTATTTACTTATTTTGAAAGCCCCGATAAGGTATCTCTGTGTCCAAAAAGAAGCAAACAACACGCCTGTACTCAAAATGAGTAATGAGAACCGGAAGATGCTGAATCAACAAAATCCTAGAAATTTCCAACGTATAAAAAATGAAATTCTAAACTGTTCCTGCCAGCGCGGAATAAAGTTGGTACCGACCAAAATGAATCTCCAGAACACCTTACAAACTAACCTATCTTTACCCTCATAAAAATTTCTATCCATTCCATTTGTGGGAACATTTCTTACCCTGACAAAACTAATGTGAAAGTTACAGAAAATGAATTGAATCCGTCAGAAAAAAGTCCTCCCACCCATAAAAATCTCTTGCATTTAAAAAATATTCATCTGTTTCAGTCCTTTCTTGAAATTCCTGAAGCCTGCAACTATAAAAGGTATTTATACAATACGATGAACAAAGAAATCCCATTTCAATACAAAATGTTGTGCTCAAAAATAGGATAGAAACAGAAACGAGATGACCTGCAGGAAATACCTTTGACACCCTTTTTGACCGGAGGAGCGACCCTTGAGGACCATTTTCTATGTTCGTTGCCCGATATCAAAATAAAATCTAAGTACACATATAAGTTAGGCATAGCAAAATCTCTTGATACACAATTTGATTTTGACATAGCTACAGTGGTTGCTATGGAAATGGCCGCTATCTTGAAAATAAACAATGAATTTCAAATCTCAAAGGCTTTCTTATTTACTGACCAAATTTGATCAAATATGGCGAAAGTATACCTGTACCAGACCCTTTCTGCGTAACAGCGAGTTTTTTTAAATAAGTGCAAAAGACAAAAAAAATATCAGAATTTTCACAATATATAAAAAAAACTTTTCGAAATTTAGTTTGCGTTATCGCTTGCCACTGGAAAAGTGTCATTTTTCCCACAACTATCTCTCTGTTACATTGATGGTAGCTTTGCCATCTATGTCTCCTGGACGTTTTATGTCAAAAGGATGAAAACTAAGGTAAGAGTAGGGAATAAACTGTAGAAATATGCCACTTTGAGAAAAACGACACTTATTGTGAAAATTCACTATATTAACCCACCCTCATGTTTTCAAAGGCAATTTACGAGGAGAATAAAGACTTTCTCAATTGTCCCCTTGCTATTTGTAGACAAAAAACTAGTTGATCTTAAAAAATCAGCCAACATCTCAATTTACATAACCTGACCCAAAATCGGCATAATCAAGGGTCCCCTTAATATGAAGCCGTATATCTAGGGTAATTATAATAATCCTTCATAAGAAAATTCACCCTCCCTGAACTACAACCTGAACTACAAAAAGGACTCTCAAGTGACATGCTGACAGTGCTCATGCAGATGTAGGCCGACACACAGAGACAGGGACCAGGGCGAAAGACGCAACAAGTGTATCGGAATGGCTAGGTGGTTGAATTGAGCATATAGGTGTAGAAAATATCATTATTTAATGTGAATAGTATTTGTAAAAATCCTAATCCCATAACGCATCCCAGATAAGGTACCATTTTCTGTTGACTTTACAAAACAAAAACATTGAACAGGAGCTTAAGATCAGCAATCTTTAAAGACAGTTTTGTTTTCATGGCACAGAAATAGGTTTCATAGACTTGTGTTAACTGTATTTCAGAGATCTGCTCCATTTCCTTTCAAGTTCAGTGACATAAATATGCACTTGAAAACGATACATGTAACGCATATGTGCAGATACATACTTTTCAAGAACATAAACATTTCCAAAATTGTGGAAGTCATGAGTTTCTAGCATTTGCTAAATCATAATTAGATAATGACTATACCTTACACTTCACTACGGCGAGCCAATTGATTGGCTCAGCATTTTCCCCGTCATTACAACGAGCAACATCATCTCAGCTCGACTATATGCACTATAAATACCCAAACAATGTAAGTTCAGATCTTCTGAAATAATATTCATTTTCTGATCCCAAAAATACCCTTTAAAAAAAATAAAAAATTCCCCTTTCAATTTCTTTTATTCAATATCGTAATGTTATACTTTGCTGAGGGGGTTATGTTTTTCAATCAGCGTATACCAAGTCTTTACTTTCTTCAATGCTTGTAAAAAAAATTTTTTAAATAAAAAGCAACACCTGCAAAAGCATGCCTATCCCTGCAATATTGTTGTCAGCCACACTTAGCTCGCCAAAATTTCTTTCATAAAACCCTCTCTTTCTGACACTTCTATGGGACAACTATGATGAAACAACAGGACAGGCAATCAACAACCTCACGAGACAGGGTGGGTGGAGAACAGAGAACCAACTCACCTGTAAGCCAACGGGGATGGGTCGAGTCAGGGTCCCCTCTGGGAACACAGCCTGTACTTGTGGCACCACATTGGAGCTGAGCACGCCTCCCTCGTTGCCGATGACGGTGCTCTCTTGCTTGACACGCGTCACTCGGGACACCAGGGCGAAGTACATGGGCAGGTCAGTGGTCAGGATGCGCTTGATGCGCTTGGTGTTGAGATCCTCCTCACTGTCCAGCTCTAAGAGGACACAGGGGCAAAGAAAATCATCATAAACTCTGAATATGGAAACATTGTTGATTGCAATATTAACCAACAACAAATTCATTGCAACTAGCATGAGTTATTCTAATTATTTGTGGAAGATAATTCTTCATGAGAGAAATTACAATATCAGAATGTTAGCAGATAACATTTTCACATCCAATATACATCCTGCATATAGTTCTTCCAAAGACCATACAAACGAAAATACAAATTGTATTATATTATACAATTCTTTTCCATTGAAACCATTAAGTTACATATTTCCTTTTGGACAAAATAATTTTTTGAAATAGATTTCTTAGAGTAAATATTCAAATCGTCATTCCTTCAGCTAAACATAAAGTCATGAAAAAGGAGAGCAAAAAAAAAAAGAATTGTGAAAGCCTAACTTGAAGTCTGAACAAATGTTCTCTTCAAATACATAAAACCGAGCACAAAAATGTTACAAGAAAAAATAAACAAAAGAATAGCACTCCATCAAAACATCTTAAAAGGACACATCTGAGAACATGAATAGCGAAAGAAGTCACAGACCAAAGACAATTTTGAGCCTCAGTTATAATGAAAACAGCAATGTTCACACCCCCCAGATGATAAAAGATAAGATTTCCTCATCCATCCTCCATATAAACAAAAAACTCATTGCCTTTTACATAAAAATACACCAAAAAAACCCAAAAGAACAAGTTTCAAGATGATGCTACAAATAAGAAAAAACTGCCATCCCAACTTTTCTCACCTTCTCAGACAGGAAACTAATGATCATGACAGCAATGTACTTTACACTAAATACAACACCAAAAGTAACTCTAGACTGAAGAAATAAACAACACATAAAGCAATACCATAGTAAAAAAAAAAGAGCAAAATGATTGCTCACCAACTGAAAATGGAACAAAAAGCTAACCCAATATAGTTAATATGAACAATTCAAAAGACACTGATACTTGAAACGAAATGCTCAGAAAAAGCAAAATAAATGCATTTGTTGAAAATATTTGTGACATCCATTCCTTTCATCTATCAAAAATATCTGAATTTAAAGGACTCGTCACATAATCACACAGACTTTTTTATATGTTCTACAACTTGGTCCTGTGATTCTGATGATGTGAGTCAGTTAGCTTTGTCCACAGTAGAGTTCACGATAATCGATACTGGAAATTCGAAGTGTTACCACCAAAAAAAAACCCAACAAACGACCATATCATCTAAGGGAGGAGAGATGCTACAAACAAGTCTATGGTACTACTCTGTGCTGTAACGCTATGCCTTTTCCTACAGCACTTTGGAGACTTCAGAAGAGAATTGCGAGACAAATTTCAAACTATTTCAGAACATAGCAATGCTTGTTCTTTTAATCTAAACATTTGCATTTTAGAAATTAAAATAGAACTGAGCCTGCTTCAAGAACAATTAAACGGTGCCACGGGTCCTTTAAAGGAAAACAACGACATATCTACAACGTTGGCTAGACAATTTTTAACACTTCAACAACAAATCTAAAACATTGAAAATATAAAATACTCACTGCATTACGTGAATGTTGTACATTTTCCACTAAAATGTCAAATAACAATTCTGTGATCTTCCTTCCTCAATATAAACAAGTTAAGATAAATATTCTAGTGTTCCAAGCTTGTCCCTCAAGGAGCACATTGCTTCAGTTCCCATTTATATTATCTCTAACTCAGTACCCATCCGAAGTTGGTAAAATGAGAATGAAAGGGAAAGTTCTCTATCTAAGGATATAATTTCCCACTCAGTGAAACTGGATCTGAAACTCATAGCTTTTTGATTCAATGACTTTGCCTACCAGTCTTTGAGCTGATTATAAAGTATTAAGTATTCTTATCTTTTACCCTGCACAAAACTCAAAAACACACAATACTGATATAAAGTTTCTATACTTCAGTCAAAAAAACAATCAAACTATCTTAAAAATTTATTGAAAACAACAACACACAAATAAGTGAAATATATAAGGCAGGCTAAATGTTTCCATTCAAAAGAAACAATCGTTTTTTCAAATCCAATGAATTATCTCTCCTGCCCCCCCCTTACCTATTTATTCATTTAATGTAATTTGCTTCCCACAATTGCAGTTATTGTAAATAAAATCAAGACAGACTAATTTAAATGTTCTTTTTTAAAGATGCTTGACCTCATCTATTGCTATACCTGGTGTAACAACAGAAATGGAAGACAGTTTTCTTCATATATATACGTATGTATATAAGGAAACATTTAGCTCACATTGCTGCTTTCTTGTACTGAAAGAGTACTGAGCAAAAATAAAAAGGAGCATCATTAGATGTTACTTTTCAACTTCAGGATACATGATGGCCATTCAGAATTAAGGGCACAACCCAATGTCAACAGAATCCTTATTTTGCCAAAATCCACTTACTTTTTGTCAACCTATAAGAGGTCAGGATTCTGTGTCTTCCCTAAAGTATAACTGGCTTTACTTCCAACACTGTTTACAAGATACAGAAGGTGATTGATTTTAAATGACGTCCTCAATAAATGACAAGCCAAGAGGATGGAGACCCTTGAAGATTAAGAGCACCATCTCTGCCATATGCCCTTTTCTCTTACCACTCAGCCATCTTAGCCTTCCTTGCTTTCCAAAATGGAATGATGGATTTCAAAGAACCTTTCCATATTCTTCTACCTATGATAAGGTTAAAAAAAAAAAGGGGGGGGGGACAGTACAAGAAAGCTGTGGATATACGGAAAGCAACCAAAGACACTACACGGCGGGTGCTCACTCCATAGACTGGCCACTGAGGCCTGACTGCCCTCCACCCCACCTTCGGCGCTGCTACCCAGACTCTCAGCGACTGCCTCCTCTGTGGCCTGCATGGGGTGCTCATACCAGGTCTCTCCATTGTCGCTACGCAGGATGACCACCTCACGCTCCTTGCCGCGCAGAGAGGCGAAGTGGGGAACCTCCAACAGCACAGGTCTGTGGGTGGGACAGGAACACAAGGAACACACATTTCAGTTTGTTTTGAAAACAAAAAACCCACATCCACAAGATCAAAAGTCTTTCAGGGCAGGAGCAAAGCAATACACTTAAGTTAAAGAAAAACACATTAATATCTTACGAAGCGAAAGTGAAAATACCAACACAAACTACAAAGATAACATTTGCTGAAAACACACACGCACATCTTGTTCAACAAAACTCTTTAAAAAATAAGTTGAGTGCCAGAATGAAAACGCTTTGCGTATGCAGTTGAAATGCACATATATCTACAGGTCTGCCCTTCGACTGCATGTAGAAGCCAGCAGCTACAGTGATGAAGTAGGTTATGAACAATATCTGCAACACTAAAGTTCTGTGTTGCAGTTTGTCGTCTCAACTGCTTTTCTCATCCTTCCAGGAATATTTTCTCATCATCCAGCATCCTGATACAGTAGTCTCCGCCTAAGATCCCACCGCTTACGATCCCGGTTAGCTTAAGATCCCGCTGTTTTAAGAAAACAGAATTGTTACTATACAAAAGTCACCCCTAAGATCCCGCTCTGATTCACTCTGAAGGTCTACATTCGGCCAAGATCCCGCATTTCAGATCATAATTTGCGGAACAAAAATATGGGCGGGCACAGCCGATCACGCAAGAGTGAAAAGTTGAGATCAATAAACTATCCGTCGCGTCAAAGATCATCCACTATCGTGAATGTGATCACATACACGTTGTAAAACTGGATGAAGCGATACAATGTTTGCCTCAGACGGTATCACACCGGAGTGTGAACTGACCGACGCGTTTGTTTTCCCTTCGCATCGCACTCACACCTGAGCTCTCCCCCTAAACTTACATCACTCGCTGGGTGGGTAGGGCCTACACGTTCGTTCCAGGTGGGATCACATCGAACCGTGAACTCTTCCCTGACCATTGCAGTAGGCGTTGCAGCAGTTGTCTCTACGCCCGAATTTGCTAGACAGACTGAATTTTAGTTGGTATGTTCACGATGTAATGGTGTGTAACGACAAAGGCGTTTGGGGAGGGGGGGGGGGGGGGGGGGGAAC